CTGAGTGAATGGGTGATGGATGGTCCAGTCCTTAAGAAGAATTTCAGACACAGAGGGTGGGTCACCAACTTATCCTATGTCCAGGGATGACCCTGGAGGAGAAACTCAAAGGTGCTGTTACTCACAGGTACCAATCTTGACTCGAAGCTGTCCCTCCCTGCTCTGAGCAGGCTCTCCCTGTCTCCCTTGAGAAAGCAGAGGCGGCATTTTGTTACTTCCACACTCTCAGCTCCTTCTGTCACATCTGCCACATTGATGCTGTTATTGCTCATTGCAGGTTTGTTGATAAATAAACAAAAGAATGGAATACTCTCATACTAGAATCCATATCACAAGGCTCTGTTTTAAAAATAAAGAGATGTCATTCTGGGATGGGAAGACTTGAAGCTTACATCTAACCCAGGCTCTCTTTTCATACCCTTTACCTTTAACTATTTACAAGAGGCAACTCCCACTTTACAGATGGAAAAACTGAGACCCAGAGAAGAAATGTAACTTAGAATTTTACATATGCAAAGCATGAAGGATCCAGAGATTCCTGATCATCTTTTAAACTCTCTATTATTATATATGAGAAAACTGAAGGCCCAAGGAGCGAGGGATGATGGCACAATTCAGCAGAGGTGGCTACAGGAATCCAGCTCCTAAATCAAAGTTCAGGGCAGTTTAGCAAACAGAGCTCAAGCAGCCCTGGTACCCAGCTCCAGGTTTCCATGGCAACTATGCAGAACAAACCATCCTCTTTGAGTAGTGTTGACTCATTCTTCATATTGCCTTTCTTTTTCTTTAAGGGAAAAATCACTCTTTACTCTCCCCAAATTGACTCATTATGAAAGGAAGAGACTAGGAAACTTTCCAGAGAATAGGTATCCAGGCAGGAAATAACAGCCTGGCTGACCAAGGCCTGGGGAGGTCTCTGAGTTGTTTGTATATCTGAATGGGATTAATGGCTTAGAGAAGATCACTCTGGAATCTCTGAGATTCCTTGGCTTAACTTGGCTGCCCCTTTCTGCATGTCTTTTCTTGAGTAATAACCGCCCTTAAATGAAAATGTTACGTGTATCTGGCAACTCGTGTCTCCCAAATATATTATCCTTACTTACTTTGTTTGATTCTGGGACAGATAGTACCATTTTACAGGTGGGGAAATCGAGGACTAGGGAGGTGTAGTTAACAGGCCTAGAGTGGGATCCTCGGCAGATGGAATTCTCCATCTCTGAAGAGAGGCCAAGGGACGCATAATTGGTATGTGTCAGACATTAGCTAGGCACCCCGGAAACCTCAGTGGGGGCTCAGCCACCCAAAGCTTGGGACAGTAAGCACTAGTTAGTGATGAATTGAAATTCTCACAGATGTTTACAATAGTCAGAAGAAGCACATTTAGTGTAGGGTGCAGGGCACCTCGAGGGTGGCCAGGGTGTCTCTCTAAGGGGTTGGCATTGACCTTGAGAACTAAATAGTAGGAAAGAGGCAGGATGGGAAGAGTGAGAAGAGAAGTACTTGGAAGGCAGAGCATGTGTGGCCCCCTGATGAAGAGGACGGTTTGCATCCTCAAGGGGGTGATTGGAGGCCGAGAAGCGAGCAGCTTGGATATGGAGGGGAGAAGGGCCAGAGGGGAGCCTGGAGGGGAGACAGGGCCACATTATTTCAGCCTGTACAGGCCACATAACATGTGTGCAAGGCATCAGAGGCACCTTACTCTTTCTTGTACGCCCAACGTGGAGGCATTCAAGCACAGTCATGAGTGTGCATGACTCAGACACATAATCACACATGAAAACGAGTACATGCACAAAAGCCACAGACATGCCCTTCCCTTAAATACCTCGCCATCTGCGCTGAGACACACTGCACACACAAATGCACATATCTACGTATGTACATGCCCATTCACATTCACACAAAGGCACAATTCACTTCCTTGTGCCCAAGCATGCTATTTCATAAACACATGTGTTGATACACACATGCTCACATGCCTCTCACACATAGGTACTCTCATTCGCACATGTACAGCCCACAACAGGCCCAGCTCAGATGAGCCCTCGGCCACAGATAAACTTCTCTGCTGGTTGGTTATCATCTTTCATTGGAACTGACA